TCGATTGCCAGTCATTATAGGGAATGACTACTACCAGCTGCCCAGCCAAGTTGATACCTGACCTTAACTACCACACCACCCCAAACAGGCATGGATAATGGGATTTACGAAACACCACAGAATGGAGGACAATGGCTAGAAGGGCCACATCAAGCAATTCACTGCAGTGTGGAAGGTGATAGAATTGGGGAGGGTGATACAGGGACTACTAAGATACTAATGACATTCTAGTTCTTAAAGTGGGTCTTGAATAGCATGTATTTGCTTTATAATTTTTGTTTATAAGGCCATTTTAAGAGGAGCTCTGGTGGCAGAAGCACTTAACGCATTTGATTTTTACCTGAAGGTTTGTGGTTCAAACCCACCAGCCACTCTTCAGAAGGAAGACTAGGCAATTACTTCCATAAAGATTTACTGCCTCAGAAAACCAAAGGGGGTCACTATGAGTCAGAATCAACTTGGTAGCAGTGACTTTGGTTTTGGTTTAGTTATTGTTAGGGGCCGCCATCTGTCTTCTCTCTCTCTCTCTCTCTCTCTCTCTCTCTCTCTGTGTGTGTGTGTTTAACTTTTTACTTTTTTCTGGGTGAAAGTTTACAGAGCCAACTGGTTTTCTGTTCAATAATCCATACACATTCTGTTTTGTGGCATTTCCTCCAGTCTGTGGTTACTATATTTGTGTATTTTTATGATTTTGAGTTTTGTTTCACATTTTCTCCTACTCTGTACAGGATTTCTTATTATTCCTGTCAGAGTGGTAAGCAATGGCAGCCAGCACAGTCTGGTTCTTCTGGTCTCAGGGTCTGGAGGCTGGGGTTCACGTGCTCTGTTTGTCCTTTGAACCGATTGTTTCCTTGTGTCTTTGATTTTCTTCACTCTTCTTGCTGCTGGTGAAGAGAGAACAATACTTGCACCTTATATGACCATTCACATGCTTTTAAGACCCCAGTCACTGCTCACTAAAGTAGAGTGTAGAACATTGTCTCTGTGGATTATGTTATGCCAATTGACCTTAGTATCCCCTGAAACTATGGTCCTGAGCCTTCATACCCAGTGACTCATCTCAATGTGTTTGGTTGTGACTAAAAAGTTTTCATAACTTTGGCCCCTATATGCTGTACTATATTAATAAATATACTTGAAGCACATCTGCCAAACCTTTATATGTTCATGGGTGTAGTCCCATTTGTCTTCCTACCACAGAAACAAAACAAAGGAAAAGAACCACATGATCATATCAATTAGCACAGAAAAGGCATTTGACAACATCCAAAGCCCATTTTTTTTATTAAACATGCTCAGCAAAATAGGAATAGAAGAGATATTCCTCAACATATGAAGGCATATACACAAAACCAATGCTTGTTTTTAATTATCTCTGCTCTATTTTGTTTGATTTTAAAATTGTGAAATAGTGTAATGATAGTGTATGACACTGTGTATTTGTCAAAACCCACAGGAGTATACAAAAAAGAGTGAACCCTAATGTAAACTGTGTCTTCAGTCAATAATAACGTATCAATATTAGTTACTCAATTGTAACAGACATAAAATGTTAATATGAGGAGATACTATAGAGAGGAGAGAAAGTATGTGAGTATTCTCTATATTCTATACACAATTTTTCTGTAAACTGAAAACCACCCTAAAAAAGAAAATTTATTTAAAAAGAGAGAGAGAGAGAAGCAGCAGCACAAACATTTCTCTCTTATGCTAAAACTCAAATCACCCAGTGAAGTGCCAAACCAAGCCAAACTAACATTGAGTTGACTCCAACTCATAGTGACCTCCATTGGGTTTTCAAGGACATAGATCTTTATAGAAACAAACTGCCTCATCTTTCTTATGCGGGGCAGCTGTTAAGTTCAAACCACCAGCTTTTTGGTTAGCAGCCAACTGCTATTATCACTACACCACCAGAGCTTCTTGGTGAAGGCTCGATTTGTCTAATCACCGTCCTGGCAGTGAGATCCTAAGGAAGTTGCCTCATCTTGGGTGCAGTGCTTCCCTTTTGTGTAAAATGGAGGGAAAAAACAAAAAACAATAATAGCTGTCACATAGGGTTTTTAGGAGGATTAAATGAATGGATACATATAAGGTACTTTATTACTCTGAACATTGCTCAATTGGCCCAATTATGAATAAGGAAGAAAGAAAGATGTTGAATACTTCAGCTTATATCCTCCACATCGCTGAAGTTAGAAAAACAAATAACAACCCTAAGTTACTGATAATTTAATGTACAAAATAGCTTCTGATGAGAGCACTAGGACCCAGAGGTACAAAACTCAATGATGCCTGAGATATTCTAGGAAGGTGCAAAAACAAAAAACCAAACTCACTGCCATGGACTGGGATCCCACCCCTCCTTGGGTTTCTGAGGTGGTATCTCTACAGAAGTAGATTGCCCAATATTCCTTCCCAGAAGTGGCTGGTGGGTTTGAACCCACCAGTCAAATGCCTTAGGCACTACACCACCAGATCCTAGAGAAAAACAGGTCCAGCTGGTGATGATGCCGTTCGGAGTAAAGAGACAAGACCGAGTCATAATTTAGGGGCTTTTCTTTTTCGTTCTCATGAATACAAAGTATGTAAGTAATCATAAACTTTTAGCTCAACCTGTATTAACCCTGTGTTTGCCCACTGGGGGTGGGCAGACTTTTGGAGTATTATGAACCTCTGTCAGTACTCCACTTACGCATAAGTAATTAAACTCTTTCTTCTCTAGGTGTGACTTAATTGACTCTGCATCGCTCCGGGCATGGGCCCACATTTTTGGGCAACAATAAAAAGATGAGACATAATGCAGTCAGGAGTGCGATCTTGATGGATGCTCACCTGCCACTGGTGGAAAGATGCTGGCATAGTGCATTGCAGCCTAAGGCCTTCGGGGAGGAAGGGGAAACATAGTTTCAGAGGAGAGATGGGAACGCAAGAACAAGATTAAGAAGCCTGCTTCGGTCCAAGAAAATAATAATTATAAAGTCGTTACATACTGGGCTCTACCATTTTAGGTTTTTAAAAAATATGTTTTTCCCAGTTACATTGAAGAGATATTTCTCATCCTGGGTGTGATAAGCCCCTTTTCAGTAAGAAGGATTATACTCTTATTGGCTAAGCAATTCTTTCCCTAAAGCTGCCCTCAAGGGATGTTATTTTGCTTTCTCGCTGGGTTTATTTTTCCCTGCCCTTTATTTTCACGTTATATTTGTGCACTCTGTACACAAGGGAAACTGTCCTCTGAATTGTCTGGGTGACTATGGGTAACTTATTCTCACTTCTTCCTTTCTCTCTCATTGGTCTACAATCTAGATTGAAATATACAGATCTAGGTTCCCAGGCGTTGTAAACAGGTCTCATGATTCAGAGATGTAATTGTGTCACGAGCTTTGCTTCTTTGGAATTGAAAAACAAAGGTAAGAGCAACTTTTAGGTTCTGAAATTAATAAACGTCTAAATTGTTTGGAGCGAAGGAAACAGGTAACTAAAAAGTGTTCCCTAGGTAAAGGAAGCTAATTGGTGGAAATAGGCTCTCAGGATATAGCCAATGAGAAAGTCGATTCAATATCCTTCATTAGCGTCCTCCCTCAAACTAATAAACGAATCAGCGGTTGCGAAACTTAGGGCTAATTTGCATAACATTGTCTACAAGTACGCAGGCTCTTAAGGCACAGACTTCCGTTTCTGTTTTTTTCCAGCCGGCGACATTAGTTAAAATGCCTGAACCAGCCAAATCTGCGCCAGCTCCGAAGAAGGGCTCTAAGAAAGCGGTGACCAAAGCGCAAAAGAAAGATGGCAAGAAGCGCAAGCGCAGCCGCAAGGAGAGCTACTCAGTTTACGTGTACAAAGTACTGAAGCAAGTCCACCCGGATACCGGCATCTCGTCCAAAGCTATGGGTATCATGAACTCGTTTGTCAACGACATCTTTGAGCGCATCGCAGGTGAGGCATCTCGTTTGGCGCATTATAACAAACGCTCAACCATCACATCTAGGGAGATCCAGACAGCAGTGCGCCTCCTGCTGCCTGGGGAGCTAGCTAAGCACGCCGTGTCCGAGGGCACCAAGGCTGTTACCAAGTACACGAGTTCAAAGTGAGCGCCTTTTCTACTTTGTGCTTAACCATCAACCCAAAGGCTCTTTTCAGAGCCACCAAGTTTTTACAATTAGAGCTCAATACTGCATTATGTGCTGATTCCCCGCCACACTCCCCCACCCCAAGCCCGATATTCGGGTATCCATCTTAACCTTTTAATAGCAAGTTTTGCGGACTCGGGTGGTAGGTTCACAGCATGTGATTATGTTGGGCCACCATCGGGGAATTCCCAGCTGTGGAGGCGAACGTGGGCTGAAGCTGCAAGTACTAACTAGGTCAAATTGGAATTCGTTGGCAGCGGCAGTCTTGTTTTAAAAAAAACAACGCACTACGTAGGCTGGTGGCAGCCCTTCATAAAGGAGAGAAAAGGACATAAAATTTAACTTCCCTTTCATATAAAATTACAATAACGTTTGAAAACCTCGCTTCTTGAAATTTTAACGTTTCTCTACGTGCTGCTGTCAGTATCTTCCCCATATTTATTGTCCGCGAAATGCCAACTGCCCATACTCCCAGCTCTTTGCCTGTCTCTAGAGAGGAGTTTAATCTTAAATTAAAAATGTGGCGGCTGCGGCTCTCTGACAAGGGAACAATGTAATACTAAGTTAGAATTTTACTACGTTTTAGTACTAAGTTAGTTTTGCTTTATCCTTTTTCCTGGAGTGCTTTTTAAAGACCCTTTTAACTGGATTTTTGTTACTTTGATAACATCTAATGGAGAAAAAGAATGTTTTTCTCCACTCCCCTCCCTGTGTCGTTTTATAAACTACTGTTACATGCCTTTGCGAGGATTCAGTCATTTGACCCGGTGGAGAGTGGAATGCCTCCACAGGGTGTTCATGACTGTGTGACCTTTCCAAAGCACATTGCCAGGCCTGCTTTCAGGGAGCGTTGGTAGCTTAGTGCCTAAGGCATTTGACTGTTAACCAGAAGGTTGGTGGCTCAAATCCATGAGCCATTCCCTAGAAGGAAAACTGGGCAATTTATTTCCATAAAGATTTTCTGCCTTGGAAATCCAGAGGGGGTCACTATGAGTTGGAAATGACTTGATGGCAGTGAGTTTGGTTTGAGTTTTCTGAGTGGGTACAACTGCCAACCTTATATGGGTAATAGTCAAGTACTTTTAATACTTTGCTCCATCAGAGTCTCATAATTCTCAAACTTTAACCACCTCAATCTCATCAGGGTGGCCAAGAATATAGAGATTACCTCTGGCCTCCACTCCATCCTTCTCTGTCACTTCAAAATTCCCTTCTGAACCTGTCTTCTGTATCCTGTGTTCAGCTCTCCTCACCAGCTCAGTTTGGAAAGAAAGGCAGGACTTTGAACAGGTCAGGGAGCAGTGAAGAAGGGGACATGTGAAGAGAGTTGTTGTGTGCCTTCGAGTTGGACCCGACTCATAGAGACCCCTCCTTGGGTTTCCGAGGCAGTATCACTATGGAAGTAGATCGCCCAACCTCCCTTCCCAGGAGTGGCTGGTGGGTTTGAATTGCCAGCCTCCTGGTTAGCAGTCAAGTGCTTTAGGCACTATGCTACCAGAGCTGCTGTGAGGAGAGTAGGTGCTTTTTTATGTTCAAATGCTGAACTCTGAGGTCCAGATGTCTATGTATGTAATCATAGAATTCCAAAGAGACAGAAACCCAGGAAAATAAAATCTTACTTCTCTTCCTGCCTAATTTTCCAGTCACTGTTGGGTGAGAAAGGTTTAATTGGGGCAGGCACATCACTGCTGAATACAAGTCCTAAATCCTTCCAGATCCACCCAAACCAACCCATGGAGATTCTTTCAGAAACTCTGCTAGCCAGCCCTCCCAGCCAGTCTTATCTGGTCAGTCTTTCATTCTCTCAAGGTAAAATAACCATAAAGACACAAACAGTTATTTATTTTCAGGTTACTGAATTACAAATTGCACTTCAACTTTATATCATTGTAATTTTAGTTTGAGATAATACTCCTTGTTAAATAGTGAATCTAGTTTCCATTCAAGAGCCATTCAAGGTTATTTTAGAAAATCGTACCAGATTGCATGCTCTCGAGGCTCAGAAACTTCCAATGATGCCCTACTGCGTTTTAGCACAAAATCAGAAATCTCTGCTATGGCCTCAAAGTGTATAAGACCTGGCGTTCACCCAATTCTCCAATCCAACCTCATTCTTTTTATTTCTCCTTCCTGCTTCCCTACTCCTAGTTTCCGAAATTTTCCAAGATCTCTCCAATCTTCAACAACAACGAAAAAGTTGTCATTGAGTCACTTCTGTTTCATGGTGGCCCCTTGTATGTCAAAGCAGAACTGAGTTCCATAGTGTTTTCAATAGCTGATTTCTCTTTTGGAAGTAGATTGCCAGACCTTTCTTCTGAGGTGTCTCTTTGCCTGAAATGGCCCTGATCCCACATCCAGCCTAAACACACACACACACGTTATTAATTTATTGATCAGCTACACCTGTCTCAGCCCAATCATCTTGTCCTGGGGAAGCTGCTCTTTCCTGAAACACAAGAAAGGGAAGAAGGAAGATCCCAGAACAAAATCAAGGTTGCATTGGAAATGAAGGAGGGGAATGACTTTTGGGGAGGCATTGCCTCACCTACACAATAACACGAGGGATTTCCAAGCAGACAGAAGGACCACCCAACAGACTGAAACTTCGGGTAGCCATTCATTCATGTTCAAGTTCCAAGCACTAAATGAGGATATAGCACAGTGGTTCTGAAGCTTGAGAATGCATCAGAATCACCTGGAGGACTCGTTAAAGCATCAATTGCTGGTCCTATCCCCAGAACTTCTGTTTCATTAGACACCTGGAGTGAGGTCCAAGAACTCGCATTTCTCAAATGTTCCCAGAGGATGCATATGCTACTGGTCTGGGAAGGATGCTTTGAGCACATTTCATGTAAAGAATGACAAGGTAACCAAAGCTCCTGTGTGGAGCTTTCTTTGTAGTAAAGATGAGCTTCTGATAAAAGATTGTGGAGGGTTTGGATGTCAAACAATGATGTTTAGACTTATTATATAGACAGTGAAAAGTTATAGAAAGTATCTGAGAGGGGACTGGCAGGATTGGCTCTAGTTTTAGGAAGATAACAGGAGATGGGATGGATTGAAGGGAAAGGGAAGGGACAAAAGGGAAAGAAATAGAGCAGTGGACACAAGAGAGAAGTCAGAGAGTATTCCATTCAGGTATTCCATTCAGCAGTTCGTCAATACTGGTTGGACTTCCTTTGTACCAGGCACTGAAACATAGCAATGAACAAGATAGCCAGCTCTGTCTGGGAAAAGGCCCAAGCGTCCCCATTATGTTGTGAGCCTCTACTGTTCGGCCATTGTGTCTGATGGATTCAGGCATCTCCCCAGCTGAATCAGTCCGCACTTTTGTTT